CTTTTATGGGTGTATCTCCAGCTTTAAAGATAGCCGCTATGAAACTGCATGAAGATGGAACCACTCTCAGGAAGTTTTGACTGTATCTGTGAAAAGCCCAGTTCATATGCCGTCAGATTCCACATGATGGCAGAATCAGGGTGATGTAGCGGTTAAGGTGTTGGTTGCATAGTTGCAACTGTGTATTATTTTATTACCTGCTGCTTGTTATTTTTAACATTCCATTCAATGTAAGTTTGTATCAAGAATTTTGAGATTCTTTGAATGTAATGTTCTAACCTCATAAAACAGGTTAGATTTTCTTTTCCAAATGAAACAGTACAGCCTAAATACTCTCCTGTCCCCATCAAGCACGCAGTATCTTCTAAATACCAATCTTTACAAGTAGCATCTGTGGACTCATTAAACAAAAGCTGCTCTAAGAAAACAATAGCTTTAGCTGCTGGCAAATAAATTCAGCCTTTGTGAAGCTGACATGCAGGCGTGAAACCATCGCAGGTTATCATTGCCCGTGGCCAATTAATTTAGGGTAAATAAAAAAGGAAAGTAGCCTTCTTAAATGACAGCAGCTAAATGTGGGGAATACCAACCCAAAGACGACATCCTTCTGTGACACCATTTGTATAAAAGACTGGTCAACGGCGAGCAGAGAAAGTTGCACCTTAGGTCCACAGCCAGCCAAAAGGTATTAAAATGAATGGGAATCAAAGCATGGTGACATGTTCAATTTATTCTAAGCACGCATTTTTCTTAGCACAGACTGCTAAGAACCCAAACTGCAGCTGCATGGCAGGTGGCACAGGCGGCAGCAAGATTTCATCAGTGACTGCCAGAAGCGTCCACTGGAGCGCCTGTTCTTAACTATCTTCTGATTTGATTCATTTCAAGCTCTGTTAGTGTAGTGACAGGGTTATAATGTACTCAGTTCCTTCTTCATGGTAGGATTCCTTAAGATCTTGTCTATTCGTGTTTTTCTCTCTCTCCTTCACCATCCCTGATGATCTTGCCTGAGAGGACTGAGGAAATTTCAGAGAGGATTCTTGCCCTCAGTGGTCTAAGGGTTTGGGTGGGCGTGCTCTGGAGTAGGAAGGGTGTTTAAGATGGACATGGTTAAGGGCCTTATCTTGCGTTATTTTCAAATGGGCTTATGGTTCATTTGGAGAAAACTATGGGGAGATGAGCTTGATGTTGGATTGGGATAGAAGGCAAGAAGGCTTAGGCAAAAGAGAGGCAAAGGAGGAGAGGAAGTCATTTACTAGCCCAGAATATTCTGTCTCCTCTATTTGCCTTCTTTGGGGATGGGTGGATGAGTGGGGAAGATTTCTCTGAAAGATACACAACAGAACTATATACCTATACCTATACCTGAGTTGCCAACTGATTGCCAAGGAAGTAAATTAATACAGAATGAAGTTTTAAGCAGTTAATGCATTTTTTTCAGCTAGCTTGTCAATTTTAATTTGGCTTTTCTATGTGTACAAAATATAGATATGCAGTGGGCTGACAGAAAAGCTTCCGGTCCTGTTGAGAGGGGGAGAAGCATCGGAAGACGACTCTTTAAAGTGCCTTTTGATTTCTGTTACATTTGGAAAGAATTTCAAAAAAGACAAAAGAAACACATAAGCGCTGCCGCATTAGTCAAAATGTACATGAAAAAGCTTAGAGGAGCTTTGTAAGTTTATCTAAGACAAGAAAAAAAAAATGATGAGGATAATGACGATGAAGTGGGCATAGGCTATAAATGTTTCCTGCAAAGTGAAAGAGAGGCATGGAAATATACTTGTATAAGTACAGCCTAGATTAAAAAAATAATGACTTAAAGCACCAAGAAATTTTATATAATACAGGTAATCTTCAATTTACAACAGTTTGTTTGCTGACCTTTCGAAGTTACAAGAGCACTGAAAAAAGTGACTTACAACCATTTTTCACACTTACAACCACTTGCAGCATCTCCGTGGTCACGTGACTAAAATTCAGGCACTTGGCCTTTGGCTCATATTTATGATGGTTCAGCATCCTGAAGTCACCTTTTGTGACCTTCTGACAAGCAAAGTTAATGGGGAAGCCAGATTCACTTCACAGCTGTGTTACTATCTTAACAACTGCAGTGATTCACTCAACAACTGTGTCAAAATAGGTTGTGAAATGGCAAAACTCACTTAACAACTGTCTCACTTAGCAACAGAAATTTTGGGCACAACTCTGATCGTAAATCAAGGATTGCCTGTATTGCCAGGGATGCTGGCAATTGCTGCTGAAATGTGAAGACCAAGCGGAATCTATAAAAGGTATCCTTAGGATTTGGCAATTTGTTTCTACAAATTACACCATTTGACCTAATAGGTTATATGCTACATTCACCTGATCATCCTGGTGGACTTGAATAATATCAAAAAACCACCATAAGTGAAGTTTCTGGATTATTCTAGGTAGACTCACTGAGGATTCAGAAAGTAGTAGGTGGCTCCTGTGGATTTGATCACTTTTCCATGTCATTTTAAATGGCTTTTATCTACAGAGTTTCTGCCTGGTATTTCATTCTTCAATTATAAAAAGTACAATTTGGCTTTTGGTGTTTTTTTTCTCCCCTTCATACCTTTATCAAGGCCGACTTTTGTGAAAAGGACAGTCTATTGTCGGTTGCATTTGCTTTAGGTCTCTATGCAATGCAAGAGACCATGAGGTGGTGTCCTAATAAATTTCTTAAAGATATGGTTTTAAATTGGGGGAAGCTCCCACATCCAGAAATATATCCCACCTTCTTCATAAGATTAATTAATTTGGCAAAAATGATAAAAATCTGTTTGAAAGACTGGAAATCCTACATGGACTTTTTGTGGAAAGAACAAAAGACTGAATTCATAATTCAGAGATTATAAAATCGGATGAAGAGGATAGGGAAAAATTGATATCATCAATAGAAAAAAAGGATAGAAAGCATAATTGTATATTTTCTTTTTACTTTTTTCTTTCCTTTCTTTTTACTATCTCTTTTTACTTTTACATGTGTTTGTGTGTGTGTGTGTGTGAGAGAGAGAGAGAGAGAGAGAGAAAAAAGAGAGAGAGAGAGAGAGAAAGAGAGACAGAGATAGAGAGAGAGATTGTAATCAAGTCTGCAGCAAGAATGATTCCCAACTGAGGTAAAATTGAGAGTCTGTATCTTCTAAAGTACATCAAGCTTTCTATAAAGACTGCTTGGAGGCTTCTTCACAATATCATCTTATGCATTTCATGCTGCTTTAAAATATGCTCTTAAATTCTCTTTAAGCACTTCTTCTCCTTTGCTTCTTCTAATGAAAATGAGAATAATCAACAACAACAACAAAAATAGCACTTCTTTGGTATATCTGAAACAGTTTGAGGGTGAGTCAAAATGTGGCCAAGAGAAAGGGAGAGAAGTTGCTAAGGAGGGGAAGCACCCTGCTCTTATTTGCCTTTTGTTTTTTAAGTGTACAAGACATGCCCTGTACCATATGAACTGCCATGAATAAGGATTAAATGTCTCATTTTTCTTCCTTAATTAATCTCTTTATTGGGCCACCAGAGAAGCCCTAGTTTTCACACTTACTGCAATGTAACAAAGGCTTGGACAAGATTGTTGTTTGGACAAGATTGGCAATCAGATTTTTAGATATTTTATCTTGTCTTTATTAGTTTTATAAATAAACTCCAGGTGACAAACATACCTAATACTCCTTCCTCCTCCTATTTTCCCCACAACAACCTTGTGAGGTGGGTTGGGCTGAGATAGCGACTGGCCCCAAGTTACTTAACCAGCTGTCATGACTAAAGCAGGACTACAACTCACTGTCCCCTGGTTTCTAGCCTGGTGCCTTAACCACTAGACCAAACTGGCTCTTTTAAAAATATCACCCTTCCCACAGTTAAACTCCTCAAAAATCCAGAAACTGGATAATAGAGAAAAGTACTATCATTTATACTTTTTTTTAGGCCTTCTCCTGGCTATCTTATTCTTTGATAGATTTAAATTTATTTTTGACTTTTCCCCAAGAGCATTAACCCCTGGGTTGAATTTATGAGTAGGTGAACACTACAGTACACACATAATGGGGACTCTATTCTCCTTCCTTCTGCAACCCTCTTTTCAATTTGACTTTGAAGAGTTCACCACCATCTCCAGCAGAATGTGACTACTTTGTGTAAATTTATGATTGTATCAGCAAATTGATGTATAACTTTCAGTGTAGTGAAGAACTAGGAATGAATATCAATTTTATTTCTGTGCAAATACAGGAATTCCTCAGAATTAGGATGATACAGGACATGGTCCTTATATAGATTTGAACTATAATACCTCTCTGTTTACAAAATAAGTATGCACATCAGAATTATGCAGACAAGATATTACTAGAGAGAAATTCCCATAATCCTTCCATACTGGTTATGCTGTCCAGAAACAAAGCTAGTATAGCTGCCTATCCCAATTGATCTAATTCGAAGAGCAGTATTTGTGAATGTGCGTGTGTTTATCAGTAGCTGGAAATATACATTATTTCCTGATCACAGCTGGAATATCAGTTGAGTTCGTCCTAGAGACAGAAAAAGTAATCTCACAATTTGCCCTATATATATCCTGCAGATTTAAAGGACAGACTATTCACCGTTCAAATTCCAATGGATGTTGTGGTGTGGTCAAAATTTCTACATAGTCAATTGCATGGAAAGTATAAATTAAAAGAATCCGTTGATTCGAGTTATCTGACCTATATTTCCTGACATAAGTCCTTTTTCTCCTGGAAGGATGAGCACATGAAGAAACAATAAGAAATCTCATCAAACCATAGATACTCTGTGTAAACATACATTACTGGGGGGGTTTTAAAAGCAAAATGCTCCCTCTGTCACAGACAAAGACTTCTGAAGCTTTTTCTCCATTCCTTTAGCAATTTTCAGATACTCAGCTATCCAACAGTTTCTTTTCCATTCACCTGATAACAAAGAAGGGTAACATGCTTACACAGTTTCAGGTTTATTACCTGAAATGACAGCTATCTTCCATGAGCCATGCTCTTCCTTGGCAATTCTCTCTGCCTCTTCCATGAGCAGCATTCCAAATCCCTAGAAAAAGAAATAGTACAAAGGCAGGGAAATGTAATTTTCTGGAATACAGGGCGCTTCTAATTTAGAAATTAGCTGGCAGAACACTTAGAAGGTAGTATGGTGAACTATGGAGAGGCAGATAGGATTGAGGAAAAGGGACAAATGATTAAAAATAACTCAAAAATTTCCTGCGTTGATCTGTTACAGGAAAAAAAAACCCAAAACAAAAAACCCAAAGGAGAATGTTGAAACATCCTTTATTAGTATAACACATGTGCCTCTGTACTGGTACATGGATACCCACTATATTGACTTGCAAGTTTGTCTCTAGAGATCCTACCATGCATAGAAAGAATAATGGGAGCATGACTGGATAACATGGGTACCTATAGAACACAACCAACTGAAATATATGATACAATATTTAGCATTAGCAAATAATGCTGCCTACAGCACTGTATCTTTCTAAAGTTATGGTCTGAAAGCCTCATTTGAACAAACCCATGATGAATGTCAGAAGGTCAGGATTTATGGACAGTACGGCGGAGTGAGATGCCCTGATTGGGGCAGAAATGTCAAGTAATTTGAAAGTTAAAGCTTTTCCCATACATGCTAAACTCGGCAAAGGGCCACTTCAACCCTAGAAGCAACTTAATTAAATGCCTGAGACCAGGCAGATCTTGATATGGAGGTTGTTTTGGGACTTTGTTGGCATTGTGTTTGAACTGTCTGAGTTGGAGGTGGTATGTGAATAATAGAAGGAGGAAGAGGAGGAGGAGGAGGAGGAGGAGGAGGAGGAGGAGGAGGAGGA